CCCTTATGTTTCTTTAGTCTTGGAAGTTTTTTTTTTTTAATTGGGGGAGGGAGATGTTTTCCCAAAACTCACAGTATTTGTTTTCCTAGGAGGGTAGATTAGAGAAGGGATGTAGTCATAGTAGCCTTAGATTTCAGCAAAGCTCTTGACAAGATCTTTCATGCTGGATTTGTAGATAGGATAGAAAGCTATGGGTTAGATCACTGGTTCTCAATTTTATTGTTTTCATGACCCCTTTACACTTTTTATTGAGGACCCCACCACCACGACCACCATCACAGAGCTTTTGTTGATGTGGGTTATATCCAGGGATGTGCTGGAGGCAGCTTAAACTGACTTGAGAAAGCTGAGCATTTATACCTCAGAAAACATTACAAATCGGGGCTTGATTTATTGTTTGTTGATTGTCTAGACTTAAGAGAGTGATGGAGAAAATGGCAATAATGCATATTAAACTTAGAAGTATATAGTGCACACGGTTTTTTTTTTTTCCCTGAGAGGTGGTTGTTAAACACTTACCAGCACACTTGGTAATATCTATTGCTATTTACCTAGTTAGAAATTAAAATTTCATAGTATTATAAAAATAGTTTTTATCTTGTGGACCTCATGAAAGGGTCTGAAGCTCCCTTCCCCCCCTGCCCCCCACCCGGGATTCCCAGACCACACTTTGAGAACCGTTGGGTTATATGATTAAGTAAACCTGAATGACCAGATCCAAAGAGAAATTATTAATGGGTTGATGTCAGTTTGGAGGATTATCTCCAATGGTGTGCCTCAGGGCTCTGCCCTTGGCTCTATGCCATAAGCTTTATCAGTGACTCAGATGAGGGCAAAGCATGCATGTTGGATTTGCAGATTACATGAAGCTTAGAGAGATAGCTAACATACAGTCTAAATCAAAAAAGGTTTCAACAATCTAGAATGATAAAACAAATAAGAAAAAAAGGTATGAGGAACAAATGTAACATTTTACACCAGCTAAAACAAGCAACTTCAAAAATTATTGAATGGGAGAGGTATTTAGTAGACCGCAAGCTCAATATGAAGTCAGTAGTATGACATGGCAGCCAGCAGAGTGACTGCTATCTTAAGTTCATTAGAAGAGGGCTGGTGTCCAGAACAAGAGAAGTAATATTTCTGCTCTACTTGGTCCTTGTTAGGACATCTATATGAGCAACTGGGTTCATTTGTAGACATCACATTATAAGGGTGACAAGGGTTTTGCCATGCCAGTGAAAATGCTGACAGAGATAGCCAGATTCTGCCATTCTCCCAATTTTAATAACTCCTTCCTGAGGCTCACTGAATGGAAAGGGGAACATAAAGAGATGAGTGGGTTTGTTACCAGCTTCAGAGGAAGACAAGGAAAGGTGAGAATCCTTTAGCTACTTATATCCTAGGATTGGGAAAAGGTGATGCAAAGCACTCACCCTAACCCAGTCTGGGGTCTCCTACGTGGGTGAGATAAAAAAAAAATCTGCTATACTACTGCCAGATTTGCACTTTTCAGTGGCATTCAGGCAAGGTGGTAAGGCATATAAGAAGACATATCTAATAACAGCTGGTGGTGGGGCCAGGGATCCTGGTCTTTGCAGTCTGACTATGAAAGGCTTATGCAAAGCACTTTGCAAACCTTAACATGCTATACAAATGTGAGATCAACATCATCATCATTATAAAAGAGCACTAACCTAGCCTCCTGAAGGCAGACTTCCTGGGGGAACTGATTCTGAAAAAAGCACTAACAATACCCCTCCAAGCATCCTCCCTGGGTACTCTAATGCTCAAACAGCGGTTGGCCTTTTACAGAAGCAGCTGGCAAGAAGTGCAGAGCCCTAACCAATGGGACTGACATGGCTATCTCCAGAGTTTTCCAGTGGTAACACAAGGATACCCTTGAGGATCCTTGGAGTTTCTTAGGGAAACATAAGAATTTGCAGGGTAGAATGGTGGGGGGATTATTTCCTCTTTTTAAAAAAGGGACTAAGAATGGTTTTATCCTATAGATTTTCCTCTTCATCGTGTTTTACTCTGCTTTATTATATGCTTTTACATTACTGCTTAGCAATTTGCCCCTCCGAATTGAGTCTGCCCTAGAGGGTATCTTGAAGCAAATATAATTCCTCCTACACTGAACTATTATGTGAGGACCCCAGGTGGAGTAAGACCCCTGTTACATTAGAAAAGACAAACTAGTTGGAACATGTCCAGAAGAGGGTGACTAGCTGTGTTAGGGCCTACTCTGTTCCTAGTCAACTGCCTACTGTCTATCTCATAGAGGTAAGATAGCCCAAAATATAAAGTACTGAACAAAAGGCTCTACATGGATTTTCATCTGTTCACTGTACCTGTGGCTTGCTTTGTAGAGTCTAGAGATTGGTTTAGGAGAGTTGAGTCAGAAATTTGGGTTGTGAATAACCAGATTTTGGCACTGTTGTTCCTTGAGTGTGAACTCCTGACCACCTGGGCAGAGCAGGGGAGACCTCCTAGAAGCTCAGCCAAGGACATGAAGAAGAGGCTGTTTGAGGACACGCCCCCAAATCAGCCATGGAATGGCTCAGATTCTCTCCTCCCTTTCCTTAACCCTCCCTTCGGCCCTTCACCTGACTGTAACATTCAAAGGACCCAGAATGCAGATCTGAGAATGGAGGTAACGGATAACACCTTGTTTCCAATTAGCCACCACCTTGAAGCCCTTGAAAAGTTGGAAAGCCATCATTGGAGCTGTCACTCAATTGGTGGTGACTCAAATCTAGAAGACTTGGAAGCCTTTTACATCCCTCTCTAGTAACCAGTGTAAAGAATAGCCCTGAATAAATCTTGTTTGGACACATAATTATGGTGCCAGTGTTTTTCTTCTTTTCTTCTCCCTAGCAGAGATGCTCATTTGCTACTTAATCACTTTAGTTGGAGAGGCTTTTGACATCAAATGTAGGAACTAAAATGGACGGGAGAAATTGACTAAGTTTCTCATTCCAAACTCTGAGGACTCACATAAATAACCCTCCTTCAAATGGCTGCACTGAGTCACCCTACTTTACCAGGAAGATGAGAGAATTAGAGAACGTCCTCTAGGAAGACATGTTGAAGGACCTGGGGAAATTTAGTGTGAAGAGCAGAAAACATTGATAATTATTGTTAACTGTAAGCCTGGGGCCCCCTTAATATGTCTCCTGAAAATTACGCCCAGAGTCAAGATACTCTTTGGATCAGTATCTATTCAAAAGTTCTGGCTCAAAACTTCCATTCAGTGTATCCTTTAGCAGACCAAATCAGATTTGATGCAAGAAATTAGTAAAAAAAGAAAAAAGAAAAAAGAAAAACACCTAATAAAAAACCCTTCCCTCCTCTTCTCCCCAGCATACACTAGGGGCATACTATCTCTCAGAATCTCATATAACTAGTGGGAAAAGGAACCCCGTAGGTCCGACAAATGATACTCCTAGGGTTGTGTGCCAGGTGGAATTTCTCTGCCTCTGAAGTTGCCACTGGAAGCTTCCACAATGGTTCTGATGTCATCTGCTGGACTGCTTCCTCCACTAGGTTGCCATCTGCTACTTCTCCAATGAGCTGCTATTACCATCTGCGGCTTCACTGCTGAATTATTGTTAGGCTGCTGCTTTACTTAATTGCAGCTGATAGCTCATTCCCACTCAGGAAGGTTGTTTTTGTTTTTGTTGTGAGATAGCCTATAACTTCAGTTCTTTTGTGAGTCAAGTCCATAGCCATAGCCAGCCAGCACACTGAGTTATTTCCACCTTGGAAGCTAATGCCAAAGCCAAGTAAAATTACTCTTGGAGTTTTACTTAGCCATACCAGAGTGGCTGAGTGGAGTCAGATTTAAGCTCAACGTAAGGAAAGACATCCAAAGAATCATAGCTCTCCAGAGATGGAAGGAATTTTGTCAGGAAGTAATGTGTTCAAGGGTAGCTAGGTGGCATGGTGGATAGAACGCCAGGCCTGGAGTCAGGAAGACTTATCTTAATGAGTTCAAACCCAGCGTCAGACACTTATTAGCTGTGTGATCCTGGGCAAGTCACTTGACCCTGTTTGCCTCAGTTCCTCATCTGTAAAATGAGCTAAAGAAGGAAACAGCAAACCACTCAGGTATCTTTTCCAAGAAAACCCCAAAATTAGGCCACAAAGAGTTGGGACATGACTCAAAAAATGACTCAATGAACACAGTGTGTTCACCCTCATTGGAGAAAATAACATTAGCACTTTAAAGTTTGTAGAACACTTTACATTTATTGTCTTCTTTGATTCACATGACAACCCTGGAAAATAAAGTGCTATTGCTATCTCAATTTTACAGATGAGGAAACTAGCTGTCAGAGGTTAAGTAAATTGTGCAGGGTTACACAGGTCATGTCAGAGGCTGGATTTGAACTCAGGTCTCATGTGCCACCTAGCTGCCCTTCAAACAGAGCCTGCATAATCAATTGTTTTGGATATTATAGAAGGGATAGAGCAGCTAGGTGGCACAGTGGATGGAGTGCCAGGCCTGGAGTCAGGAAGACTCCTTTCCAAGTTCAAATCTGGCCTCAAACACTCCCTAGCTAGGTGGCCCTAGGAAAATCACTTAACTCTGCCTCACTTTCCTCATCTGTAAAATAAGCCAGAGAAATGACAAACTAGTATCTTTGCCAAGAAAACCCCCAATGGGGTTACAAAAAATCAGACACAACTGGAAAGCTACTCAACAAGCAGGGATCTTTGGTCAGGGACAGGTGGGGCTACACGGCTTCTGAGGTTACTTCTAGTTCTTAGATTTTCCCTGATTTCCACAGTTGAAAGTGATTGTTCTCTCAAATTTTCCTAGAGTTCTTTGGATTTTTCTTCTCGTTTTACCAGCTTATCTGTGCATATGTCAAAGAATTCCATAGTCTGGGAGTTGGGAGGGACCTCAGTGATTCCCTAGTCCAACCCACATCTAGCTCAGTGCCTGGCATACAGGTGGTGTTTCGTGTTTGTTGACTGATTATACTTCAACGGGAGTCCCTTCTACAACATCTCCAACAAGTACTCGTGTAGCCTCCGCTGGAAGACCCCTAATGAAAGAAAAGTCTTATTTCTCCCTTAATAGGGGGATACTGTAAGCTCCCTGAGGTCAAGAAGTGTGGTTTTTTCTTTTAGGCACTTAACAAGTATCTGTGCAAATGAGTTGAATGTTTATTCTCCTTTCCCTTGTAAGTTAACCCTAGAAAATGCACTCATGTAGCCTGTAGGATGTAGCGATGGGCAGAAGGGAAGAAAGGAACAGCTGCTAGAATTAGATGTCCAATCACAGTGGCAGCAGAAGCCAAAGGGAGGTCATCGGGAATTGTGGAGGCTTTTTTTCTGATCCCAGAGATCAAAACAGGTTCAAGGCCTAGGAAGATCTAGGAAATTTGCTGGCTTTGGGTTGGGGCTCAAGTATCAAATTGAAAACAACAAAACACTTATTTAGGACCTACTTTGGAAACGTTCTGTGCTAAGTGATACAGATACAAACACAAAACCAAAATGGGTCCCTGCCCATCAGAAAATTACATTCTATTGCTGTGACATGGTATGAGTGCAGACAGACACAGAAGAGAAAGAAGAGAAGAGAAAGTTCATTAACCAATGGTTTGTGGGGTGTAAATCCAGAGGCTTTGTGAAGGAGGTGGCACCTTTAAAAAACATAAGGATTCTAAGAAGTGGAGGTAAGAAGGAAGAACATTTCAGGAATGAAGGAAAGCTTTGTACAAAGGCAGGGAGGTGAGAAATAGCATGCCAAGTTCAAAGAACATCTAGTAGTCCAGTTGAACTGTAACATAAAATATGTGAAGAGCAGTGATTTGCAAATAAGGTTGAAAAGGCAGGCCAGAACTTGTAACAATACTTGGTGGTAATGTGAAAATGAGGGTACTTTCCCTTTAAATTCTATGAAATATTATCCAGTTTGTACTGGAAAAGTGTTAACTCAGATTGAAGACCTACTTTTTCCCGAATTGGGAAGGTAAACTAAGGGAACATTAGGGCTATTTTTACCTAAGGTAAGGCACCTGGGTACTTTAGAGAGCAGTGCAAACCGGGGGTGGTGTGTTTGGGGTGTAGGGAGGGGTGGGGAAGGAGTAGGAGATGGGGAGGGAAGAAGGATGCAAAGGTCTACTGGGGCTTAGTTTTTAACAAAGGAGCTAAGATCCTTGGAAGTTAACTGAAGGTCACAGAAACCTGAGGCCCAGGGCTGGAGGGTAATGAGAGTTGCCTTCCAGGCTTTGAAGGCCTGCCATGTGGAAGAGCAATTGGACTAGAATTAGAAGCAGTGGAGGCTCACAAGAAAGTTTCATTTCAAAAGAAGCAAAAAACAATTAGAGCTTTCCAGAAGGGGAATAGGCTGCCTTGGGAGTCCCCATCCCTAGAGATGTCCAAGATGGGGCTGGATGATCATTTGTTGGGGATGCTGTAGTAGCAACTCTCATTCAGGGACAGAGTGGACAAGTGACCTTGGTTCCAAAATTCCTTCTGGCTGAGATACACCTCACAGCACCAGCTGAGCAGAGGGGATGTGCTAAAGCCCAACAGAGTCAAGGAGAAAGGGCAAGGTAAGCCCTGAGCAAAAGGGGAAAGGGAAAGCTTGAACTATGGGGCTCCTAAAGGGAGACTGGGAGGAAAGTCATCGAGAGCTTGGTGGTCCCAAGTGGCAAGCAGCAATGTTAACAGTCCTTCGTAGGCAGGCAGTCTGTCCTAGGCACCTATCTACCTCTAAGCTATTAGAAAAGGCAGTGTTTGGCACAGTATCTGGCACACGGTAGGTACCTGATAAATGTTTACTGACTGATGGATAAATCCCTAGGCCTCAAGAGTAAGAGGCTCGAGGGAGAGGAATATTGCCAATGTTATGTTTCTATTTGATTAATCTCTCCAACATGATGCCACGTCACCTTTTATGTAACATTCTTATATGCATGCTAATTCAATTAAAAAGGTTAACTTGGTTGTACCACCTCCATCTCCCTCACACATATAATACTCTATGCTCTCCAACCTCCTGGCCTTTTGTGTGTCTGCAATGTCACCGTGGCTGCATAAAAAGAACCTTCTATTTGCAAAAATGAGACTTATACTCACGTTCTGCCTCCATCGTTTAATTACCTGTGTGACCTGATGTATATCCTTTAACCTCCCAGGACATCAGTTTCTTTGTAAAATGAGGGGCTTCGACTAGAAATGCCATCTAGTGTTCCTTCTCTAAATCTATGATTATTTCTCCCATTCTTAGAATTCTTTCAAGTTCAAATCAAATGCCTTGCACTCCAGGAAACCTTCCTTGATCTCCCCAAGTTGGTAACATCCTCCCTCCACTACCTTACATAGTACTTTGTTTGTACTTACTTCTCTGGTGCACCTATCATGCAATATCCTCTACTGTAGTCAGTTCCTTTTGGGAACTCCCTACTCTCTCCATCTCATTAATTCCCTCAGCTTCAACTACCTTCTCTTTGTATGGGACTCCCAAATCTCCAGCCCTGGTTTCTCTTTCTGAGCTCCAGCTGGGCACCTCTGACTGCCTCCAGGACATGTGCCATTGATGTCCCACCAGGCCCTCACTCTCAGAAAGTTCCAAATTGAACTACCAGGATTTGGTACTAGGAGGGACCTGAGACACATCTAGTTCAACTCTCATTTTACAGACAAGGAAACTAAGGCCCAGTGACTGACATGCCCAAGGTTACACAATTAGAAAGTAACAGAGCTGGAATTCAAAACTAATGATCTTCTCCACCAAACCTTCACCTTGTTTTGATTTTACAGCTCTGGGTAGGTCCACCATTCATACAAATTTTCTATGTCCTAATCCTAAGCATATCACAGACTTTTCTTTCCTTTCTCCACCTCCTGCCCCCCCCCCCCCAAAAGAATTCTCACAGATCAGATCCTGCTGATTCCACCTCTGCCTTCCTTGGCATCGATGACTATGATGGACCCTTCCCCTATCTTGCTAAGGAACTAGTACATAATGGTGCCTGCAATAACTGTTGCCAGTCCAAGCGGGTATACTAACCTTGGAAGACCATGTGTGTATATGTGTGCATTTTGCTTCATTAATTGTAAAACAAGGGGGATTGTTTAGCTCCTGGGACCTCCAACTGTGTAGTGTCCAATAATCAGACTGTGTCCTTTAGCATGCTTCTCTTTGGGTTCGTGTAGCATGTCCTAGAGGAAACTAGCTTCATTTTCTGGGATCCTAATGGAGGTCTCCACTGCTCTGGGTCTGTGGAGGGCAAGAGGAAATTAGGGACTGCTTTGAGAAGGTCAGGTTCCTAGGGATGGTCAGTGATGAGAACTGGCCCAAGATTGGTCTGGCTGGACTTATGTTTGGTTCCTGTTACTAATAAAAAGTAGGATCTACTAGGGAAGATACCAAGTCCCTTCCATTCTCCACTGACCTGGGAAATCAATAGCTTACCTAGCTGGATTGGGGAAGACAGTGATGCTTAGGGATTCTATCCAGAGTGGGGACACTGACTCCAAGAGTATAGACACCCCAACTGGATCAAAGATCCTAAAGTTGGGACTTCAGGGATCATTCTACACCTGGGACTGTGACACTGAGTGTGGGGTGGTTTGGCAAACATGCCACACCTCAACCTGAAAGACATTGACCCTTGAGGGGCAGATGCCTTGACCAGATAGATGGAATATGCTGAGCACAGAAGAATGGATGTCCTGTTCTGGGGGGGGGGGGGGGGAACGACACCAAAAAAAAGAAAAAACCCCCCCACTAAAAGATGAACATCCTTTCCTGAGGCAGAACACTACCCCTAGGAGGAAAGATGCCTCTACCAGAGGCCCAACATCAGTATCCCTGGTGGAAGAAATACTCTGGCCCCATCCAGAGTGGGAGTCTGGTAGCATTGCTATGGTTATGGAGCTGCATGTAGTGTCTCAAAATAGAACGTTGTATAGGTCATAGTGGACCCTACCAGATTCCAGTGGCTCACTGTTGGGAGATCAGTCCTAGGAGATGGGGGCAGAGTTACAGCTGATGACATTTCCCAGACTGACTGTAAAGCCCTCCAGGCTCTCCAAATCTCCAAGAACAATGGGTCCTGCCTCTTTCCGGAAACTAGGCGGGGCTTGCCCCAGGTTTGGCTCTGGTTTTCTCTGGTTTTGGGTATAGCCCTGGGATCCCTATCAACTGCCGTGACGGTTGAACTTCTTTGGAAGGCAGTCCTGGGTGGAAGAACAGGGCAGGTACATGGCTCATCAGTTTCAGGCTCTAGCTCCACTGGGTCACCCAGTCTTTTAATCACCACACAAAGAACCTTTAAGTGGTAGTGCCATGTGGACATTGGGAAGGGAGAGAAGCATCACAAGACCAAGATGTCTAGGACTTTAGGACTGGGGTGGGTGGGTGAGGAGGAGGAATTATTCTCCTCTCCTATTCCTCCACTATCTTCCTGGAGGGAGCCCTGAACAATAGTAGAAACTGAGAGAATTCAAAAGGCTTGGACAGAGCGCTTCTAATAAAAGTATAGTCCCTCTTGTCCATCCTGGGGTACAGGGCAGAGCTAGGATCCCATTTCATCTAACTCTGGGAAACAAAACCCTTTCAGTTGCCCTTGGCTGTTAACCTCCCCCCTTTAGCTCTCTGGGCAAGACAATGGGGCATTGAATTAGGTTCCCTAGAAAGGGCCCCTTGTTCTTAGACCTTCCCCTCACCCCAGGACCATCTAGAGCCTGTCCTGCCCTTGTACCTCATTTTCCTGCTTTGTCCCCAGTACTATCCCCAGCCTGGCCCTTGTACCTCTTCCTCTTTCCCCTTGCTACTGTCTTGCTTTTCCTGATCTTCCTCTGGGGTTCTTCTGTCTGACTCCCTTAACCCAGTTCCACGGCCCTTAAGGGCTAGGTAGAAGAGCATGCAGTAGGTGTATGGAAACCATAACTGCTTGGGTCCAGAAAACTGCCCTGGTGTGGCAGGGATTGATTTCACTTCTTTACATTCTCCAAACCTTCCCTCAGAAACCAGAAATGAAAACCAACAGGCAAGCGTAGAGAGTGAAAGATGGATAGAATTGTGCAAGAGTGGGAGGGACAGGCTTGGGGACAAAGGGGAGAGGCCTAAGTGACTCATAAGGGGCAGTCCCTGCCCAGGTCCCACCTTCCCTCCCTCCATATAGCTGTGTTTGTACCCAGCGTGTTATTGCTCCTTCTACCCTTCATTGGATGCAGCCATGGCTCCCAGCTCCCGGTGAGGTCATGGGACACTGGGTCTAAGGCTTGGAGGAAAGGAGGGTTTCTGGGTCTGGGATATGTATGGCAGGTTGGGGGTGGGGGATGCTGACTTCTGAACTAGGGCCCAGGCCCTAATCCTGAGGCATGGACCTTTGGAGAGTCCATCTGGGATGGAAGTCAGGACATGTGCAGCCCCTGAGCCACCTGACTCTCCCAGGTAACTTCCCCTCACTCCAATCTTAGGTTCTTGCTACCTGTCTCTTTGCTGATCTTATTTCTGGCTCTAGTGGCTGCAGGTGAGATTCACTCCCCTTTCCCTTGTCCATCCTAGGAATTTAGGGGTGGGGAAAGGGCAGTTGTGGGGAATGGTGTCAGACTGCACAGTGCCATTCCACTCCATGGGATCATGGGAAGGGAAGATCCCTACCAAATCACTTGATTTCCACTATTCAGACCCTCTATGAAGGTAGGGCATTGGGATGGGTTGGCCTGAGACCTTTACCCTATCCCTTCCTTCTGACCCCATTTCCCCAGCCTTGGAGGTTCCAATCTCCCCTCATTATGCCCCTTTGAATTTTCTCTCCACAAGCGGAAGATCCGTTGTCAAACAAGCGTACTCTGCAGACGGAGGATGAAAACGAGGGAAATGGTTTAGAGTCTGAGTCCCTAGACAACCCTGATTCTGACTCAAGCCAGAATTTTGCTGGCGAGGACGCAGGCAGTGAGGAGACAGCTGGTGAGATCCTCCAGGCAGAGCATCAAAGCAATGACCCCATAACTGATGGGGCTGGGATATGTGGGATGAGGCAGTTTTGACCTAATGATGCCTTTTACCCTTCCTTCTCCACCCACCCCACCCCCTTGCCCTTTGTAGACATGGAAGATGAAGCAGAGGAGAATGAGGAAGATGAATCTCCCTTTCAGAAGGCCCAAGGTAAGCTCAGCACTTTCCACCTAGACCCTAGGGGAAGGAAATGTGTGTATGTGTGTGCAGGCACAGCGTACACAGTGTCAAGAAACGTTACCAAGGTATATCACACAGGAAGGGGAAAGCCAGAAAAATTAACAAATTTTAGGTCCTCAAAGGACTGATGGAACCGTGGGTCTTTAACTTAGAGGATCAGGGCTGGGACATCACTGCCATCAAGGGTCTGAAGGATTTCCATGGGCAAGAGGGGATTAGATTTGCCTAGTAAGGCTAGAAGGCAAGGATTCCCTCTTGAGAGAGGTAGGTTTTCATGGTAAGGATAAATGACCAGAAATATTGTTGGAGGGGATTTTCATTCAGGTCTAGTTTGCATGACTTCTGCACTCCCTTCCTGGTAATGGGCCATCTGGGTGTGGGTGTGATAACACTGGGGGTAAGCCAGCCCCCAATCGAAAAGCCATGCTGGAAGAATTCAAGGAGGTAACTCCCATATGTCACAGAATATTCCTCAGATGAATGCCTCAAAGGGAAGATCAATGAAGGGTCTGCCTCCATTCAATACTCGGCATATATAGAAACATTGGGGAAAATGGGTGAGAAGTTACTGCATTCAACTGGATGGGTAATAGATCTGCCAACACTTATTTTATCCATGCCCTCCTCATACCCCCAAAGGTGAAGAGGACCTCACCAGAAAGAGTTGGTGGTGTAGCAACATGAGACTGGGGCTTGATCCCTAGTACAAGACCTATTTCCCAAGTGAAATCTGGTTGACAGCATAGGCCTCAGGGATTGGGGGTATGTGGGCACCAAAAGGGAAGCCAGCCCAATGAGAAACTCCAGTCTGACATTCTTTTCTCTCGCCGACAGGTTTATGAAGCTGCTGCCAGAAGCCTCTGCAGAGAATCAGTCCTTGGGCCCGATATGCTGTTCCCTCTTCCTACTTTATTCCTAGGTGATAGGGAGTATTTGCCCTATCCTCTCAATAAATATATCTGAGAAAAATCTGGCCTTACTTAACGAGGACTGTGGACCAGGGGCGGGTACGTGTACTGCAGTGACGTAGAGGAAATTTTTGTCCTTCAAATTTTAATACAAATCTGAACTAAATAGAAGTCCAGTGACCCAATCACAGTTAGTAGCAGGAAGGTTGGGGGGAGCTCAGGTCAGTGTGCCTTGTATGCTAGCGTCTTTATTTGGGGAATTTCTTCATCCAAAAGGGCAGAAGGATGAAATGCAGAATAAGAGAAAGAAGTTGCAGAGATGTGGGGCAAATCCAAGTAAAACACCATGGACCTCATCCGTGAACTAGGCCGGCAAGAGAAACAGGAGAAGAAGGGAGACAAGAATGGGTCTGAGAAGAGAAGGCAGTGGGGCGTAGTGGAGCACTGACTTTGGAATCTAGAAGACCTGGCTATGAATCCCAATTCCACTTACTGATAAGCTCTGTGACCTTGGGCAGGTCACCGAGGATCGTATTTTAGAGAAGGGACTAGAAATCTAGGACAACTTTTTTGCTTTAAAGATGAGGAAACTGAGGCCTGGAATTAAGGGACTGGGCCTAAGATCACACAGCAAATTTGGAGCCCAATGACTGCAAATAACCCACTGTTATTTCTATAACATGATGCACTCTTAACCTCTCTGGGCTTGTTTTCCCACCCATTAAAAAGGGGCTGGATTAAAAAAATCTTTATGGCTGCTTCCTGTTCTCAACTGTACAACCCTGGAGGGGAGGGTCCTTGGGCACCCCTTCAAACACCTCACCTCAGGACTCGGCACCTTTCACTTGGGTATGGTCCCCCACCGAGAGGCCAGCCCCCGACTTTGGCTTCTTTCCCTTCCTGGCTTCCCTCCCCAAATACTGAAGCCATCTTAGCAGCCTCAACCCAATCTGAATTCAGTGTAACTTCCCCTGAATGCCAGGAATAACATTTCCCATGAGCTGAGAAACCACAACCATATAGCCTCTCTGTTTATAGATCTGTCTGTCTTCATATATATATATATATGTATGTATGTATGTATATATATAATATATATATATTCTCTATATAGAGGGAGAAGTATAAACTTCTCTCATGTAAAAATCCAAAATACAATTCTATCAACAATCAGCGGGGTCAGTACAAAGTGTAACTGAGAAAACCCCAAACCAACCAACAGGAGAACATACGGAGCCAGGGATGGGGAGTGGGGCAAACATAAGCTGCTACCCAGTGAAGCCACAGGAAAATGTGAGAGGTGGTGGGCAGGGTCCCACCCTGCATGCATGGTGTTGGGGTTGGGGTCCTTTCTCCTGTTGACCTCTGCTCACCTGGGGCTGCTTCCATTATACGAAGCTCTGTCCAGAACAGCCCCTTGGGCACACTCTCTCCCCTTGCTCAGGTGGGTGGCCCTTTATTTATGGCCTGGGTCCTATCTGTTGCCAGGTTCCCTCCAACAGGCTTGTCTGGCCCCAAATTAGACTTCTGACAACTTCTCTGAGCACAAACACAAGGGACAGTGCCCCTCTCCCACCCTCAGGAAGGCTGGCAAGGAAGGAGGGGGACCCTGATGCCTGGATCATCCCCCTCCCAGAGGAAGAGGGGCCTTAGGAGACGGCAGGGTCCTTGGCCTTGGTGGGCTCAGAGCCAGACAGCAGGGAGATGGTGGGGTCATCAGTGTAGTCATCCCCCTCCGAGAAGTAAGGCCCCTCCCCCAGTTCGAAGAAGATGGGCAGGTCATTCCCTGTTGTATCCAGAGTGCTGGAGTCTACCAGGAACAAGGGCTGGGCTGTGTAGTGCACCAGCTGCTTCCCTGGGTGGGCAGAGGAAGAGGGTCATGGGTGTGGCGATGAAGGGAAAACGAAGGCTTTGCAACTGGAGGTCATGGGTAGTATGGGAATCCCTTGCCCAGGCTGGTGTGATATTGGGGAGAGGGGTCACAGAGAAAGGGAACAGGTCCCAAGCTAGCCCAGAGCTGAGGAGAAACAGATCTCAGGCACTGGCGTCTGGGACCCCAGGGGCAGGAGCAGGGGATCAAGGGGATGGCAGCCCAAGGTTCAGAGTCCAGCTCACCTGAGTCTGCACCACCTGTCTCAGTCTCCAGAGGCTTTGGTTGCTCCTGGGAGGAGAGGAGGTCCTGGATCTGTAGGGGGTGGGGAGTGAGGGGCTGTGGGAAGGGGAGGGGGGCAGCTGGGTCTGGGGCCAAGGTCTTAACCTCATCTCTATCCCAACCTGGCCTGAACCACCCCATCCCATCCCACCCTACGCCACCTCACCCCACCCCATCTTTTCCCTTCCTACCCCATCCAACCTCTTCCCTTCCTGTCCCACCCCACCCCACCCCACCCCACCCCAACCGCACTGAGGGCCCTGGGGTTTTGGCAGGATCGATTGTGGGCACCCAGGATAGCTGCTAACCATTTCATCCCTCCCCAAGCTCCCAGGGGCCCTTGACTACGCACACTGGCCAGGCTGCTATCCAGGTCAGGCAGGCTCATGTCTGTCACGGACACTGAGGGGCTAAAAAGCTACCAGAGAAAAGACAGGTTGTTGAGTGGGAAGAGTAGGCTTAATAAAGAGGATGGGACAGTGACGTGGACAGGCCCAGAACACTCACATCTAGTAGGGCGCTGGTATCTACACTGAAGCCGTGGGTGGTTAGCATGGTCTGTAGGTTGTCCAGGTTGGAGTCCATGGTATCCAGGTGCTCACTAAGCTCATTTCTAACCAGGCAAAAAAAGAAGGGACTAAGGATGAAGGGCAGGACCAGACCAAAGCCAGCTCTGCTATTCAGAGCACAGGTCAAGGATGCAACACCATCCTAAGCTGGAAAGAACAGGGGGGTAGCTAATTGTGGTCCCCAGAGGACTGGGGTGTTCCTGATGTCCCGTCTGTCTCTGAGAGGAAGCATTTGGGTATATATGAGGGGATGCTCTCACCACCTCATGGCTGGGAGGGAGGTAGGGGAAGAGTCAGGGCTTACAGGCTAAGGGGCCCCAAAGAGAGGCCATTGACACAGCCTGGGACTGTGCACAGATGTGTGGGTTCGAGAAACTTAAGAGACTGGGGCATACCTGGCTGCTACTACTCCTTCCCACCCCAGGGCTCCCTCCATTTCCCCATACAGTCTGTAGATGTGTCCTGGACTTAGTTTCCTGCCTCAATTACTCTTGATGATCCCCCTCTCCACTTGGTCTCCCGGTCTCTGAGCTTTGGTTATAACCCACTACATACCCAGCAAAGTGCCCCACACATCACAGATGCCTAAGTTTTGGCTGGCTATGCACATTACCACCTGATCAACTTAAAACACTACTCTCACGGCAGTCCCCTGCTCAAGAACCCTCAAATCTAGCCCAGCTAGGATCAGAGCATGAACACCCTTTACAAAATCCTGCATAAATGCTTATTTGTGCTCTCCTTGAAGTTGTCGAGTGATGGGGATCTCACTACTTACTGAGGCAGGTTGTTACACTGTGGGACAAGTCTAGCTGTCCTAAACTCCCACCTGGCCTTTAACGGCTTCTCCCCTGTTCCCTAAGACAAAGCCCTCTGCTCTATCCACCGAGCCCAAGCCTTGTCCTTCCCTGTTCTCTGCACAAGGCCCCTCCGCCTCCATGACTGCCACCTTTCACTCATCTCCAGAAGGTGGGCAGCAAAGGTACCGCTGACTGACTGCTGTCATTCCCCTGGGAAGGGAAGAGCTCAGCTGCTGTTGCTCACCCATCACTAGCTTCCCTGACTGGCTTGTGCTAGACTGATGGTAACTCAAACACAGGTGCTTTTGTTGGAGGATCAGGAGAATTTAGGAAGGAAAAAACTCCAGGTAAAGTTTGGACATAATGTCGTATGAGAAGCCTACAGAGAAGACTGAATACAATTCCTTTAAGTATCTGATATGGGATGAGAGACTAGACTTAATTTTAAGTGGCATCAGATGTAGGAGCAATGGCTGTGAATAAAAGGAGGAACATTTTCACTGTGTAGAAGGACTAACAACTGTTGTGTGGTGGGAGGATTTGGCTAGACCAGGATGACCCAGGAGATTCCTTTCAACTGCAAGACTTTTTTGATGCTATTTAGTGCTGGGCTCCTGGAAAATAAGGGTGGGAAGGAAGAGGTGCAAAATAGGAGGCTGAGGACAGAGGTTAGTGCAGCAAGCAAATTTTTCTTGGGCCACAAATTAATACTTGATTAAGACCAATCTCATCTGACCAACCAATTTAACAATCCATTCCCTCTACCAATGAAGACAGAAGTGGCTGGGGCCTGGAAGGAATGCAACTCAACAACTTTCAATGGCTGTCCAACTTTATCTAGGTTAAAATCCAAACCCAGGGTCACCTCAACCCAAACTGTGCTTCTGCCCTCCCAAGGATTCCACAACCTTTGAAGTAAGGTCTTTGAAAACTCCGGCAAAGTCTGAGTGCATGAAGGGGCCCCAAAATGACCTCACTCTGATCAAACTCCCTAACTATCCCAGGGAGGAATGGACTGGCGGAGTGGGTGGGTGGCCCTCACCACCTCGGACCCAACTAGGTCACCCAAATACCTGGAGGAGGCTCTACTATCTACTCCTGGGAGTACCTGGCCCAGGAGGGTGATGACTGATGTGGCTTCACTGAAAGTGACTCTCTCCCCTGCATATTACTGGCCTCATCCAAGCCAGGCTCCCCTTGGGGGAAAGTTCACCCTAGCTGAACACACAGGATATCATCAGAGTCACTGACACCAGTAGGCTGGGATGGGTCAGGCCTCTTTCCAAATATGCCCTTCCTCCCTCCCCCCTTTGGGGGCAATGCTAACCCTGGCTGTGATCGGCAATGCAGAGAGGAAGAGGCAGGGCTGGGGAAGAGGCGGGCGACCTCAGACATCTGTGGAGTGCGAGTCAAACTGCAAGATATAAAAGACAACAGCACATGCCCGATTCAAAGGAGGGACTGAGGGATGAGTGAGGTCTGAAGGGTTCATGCACTCAATGCTTCCACCCTATCCCAGGGCTCCTGGCTAGAAAGGACTGCCAGGCTCTTAGAGCACTGAGCCATTCATCACTTTCTCTGTGGCTGGCCCTAGCCCCTGGGCTGCAGGTAAGCTGGGGTCAAGAGTGCCTGGTTCCCTAGGTGCATGTTGGGGTGAGGCCTGAAGAGGCAGAGGCAGGTGCCTATGAAGGAGTATGTGAGCACATACACAACTCTTTTTCCCATCCAAAAAGGGAGATGGGGTAGACAGAAAGCAGCAGAAAGCAAAGAACAGCCAGCAGGTTAATGGCAGAACCAGAGGTAGCGGTAGCGGCAGCGGCAGCAGCAGCGGCGGCGGCAGCAGCAGCAGCAGCAGCGGCAGCAGCAACACCAACACCGGGGTAGAGGTTTGTGTGGGTGCTGGGGAGTTCAGTTTGGTCCAGCTCTCACAAGCCAGAAGGGAGTCCCAGTGCCCTCAAATGTTTTCTTTCCCTCAGGTTGACTCTGGGCTGATGTGTGCGATGCCTCTGTACACCCACACTCACTTGTCGAGGCAGGCTACGCTGAGGCACTTCTCGGGAGTCTGGAGGGGACCTGGAGGTGGAGAGGAGATGACCCCACCCACAGTGCCAGAAACAGAGGCTGCAGTGCTGGGCTCACTCTCCTGAAGAATGGAGTCGATGAAGGTGCATGGAGACAGGGGAGTCTCCACCACTGAGGGGGGGTGGCCCGGACTGGTCTCCTCGATCTGGGGGCTTCGTGGTGGGCTGGGGGGCTCCTCCTTGATTCGTATCATTGGGCTGATCCTGAGGAGAGATGGGTTTGCCCATACATATAGATACCCAGAAGCAAGGTTGGCATAGCTTGTGGGGGCACCTCCCCAAGGTCCAGCTTCTTCTCCTCTTCTCATATCCCCTTCCCTCCTTGGGGCTTTGCGGTCTACAGTTTCTATCACTGTGAACTGGGCCTGAGGCAGGGGTTACAGGAGCAAGAAGGCAGGAGGCCACAGGGTGGGTGCTTACAGAGGAAGAGGAGGGAGGCCCATAGGAGAAAGGCCAACACTAAAGTCAAGAAGGTTCCCTATGGCCTTGAGGGCAGAGGGGCAGCCTGCCAAGGAGTCAAAGACCTGACCCTGAATCTGTGTCCGTAAGGCAGTACAAGGGGATGCCAAGAACAGGGAGGAAGGTGTGATGCTGGGGCCCTACCTCTCATCCACGCTGCCACTGGGGGAGGCCGAGGGGCTGGATTGGGCCAGCTCTGTGACATCTGAAATGATGGGTCCACTATTGGCTGCGGAGTCTGAGGAGTATAGGTTGGAGCCACTATAGGTTGGGGAAGAAGCCTGGAACAGCCAAACAGGGTTGAGGGGGTGGTCAGGGCAGCAACCCTAGCTTCTTTTTCCCTCCTCTTCCTTCCCCCATCATATTAATGGGTGAGGTCTGCTCTTGAGAGGTTCTCCACATGGGATTTCTTTCCAGGGGCAAGCTCTCTCTTCCCTGTCCTGGAAATAGGTTTGTGGACTTCATCCAATCCCAGCCTCCTGACTCCTTCCTGATCTCTCTCCTCTCCTGTCTCTTCGGCATTCCCCTCCTCCCAGGAATATTATCAAATGAGATCCTATTTGCAAAGTACTTATCCCAGTGCCTGGTACACAGCAGGCAGGCATTTAGTAGGTGCTTGTCCCCAACCCCTCCCTCGTGTGCTCACCGTGTAGGGAGACGAGCCATGGACGTGCTCTAAGGAGTACTGGCGGCTGTACTTGGGCATGGAATGTGCCGAGCTGCTATCATTCAACATCAGGGGGCTGCAAGGGAGGGAGTCCCAAGAAGGAGAGGTCAGACAGAAAGGGAAGAGTGTTCAAGGAGTACGGGTAAAAGGTATCCAGGGGAGGAAGGGCTGGGCCGGCTCTCCTCGGGAGAGCAGGGTCTGTTCAGAGGCTATGGGACAAAGATGAGGTGGGGGTGATGTGTCCTGAGGTCTGCTCTGAGAGCCAAAGCAAACTACTCACATCTTCCTTTTCACCCCCAGGATCCGGTTCGACTGGACGAGAGAGATCAGGAACTGGATCAGCTGTACGAACAGAGAGAAGGTGGTCAGCTTAGGCTCCCTATCCCAAGGCCTCAAGCATGTCTGCTACCTTTAGGTCCAGGACATGGAAAGCAACCAAGGGGGACCTACCCTTTCTCCTCTATTTTCACAAGCTCTCACCTTGTTGACTACTTTTTGCTGTTGGGCGTGCTTCTGCCGAAGGCTGGCAACCTCTCTCCACAGGGCTTCATTCTCACTGCAAGAAAAGCAAGGAAGGGGGATGAGCAAAGAGGGTCTGGGAACCCACAGTACCCCAGACCAACACTGTGCCAAGCACTTCACAGGGCCCTGGAGGAGAGAAGCTGAGACCCTCACGGAGGTCAGCTTCATCCAGGAACGTCAGAGGTTTCAGATGAGAAAACTGAAGTGAAGTGATTTGTGCTAGGTTACACTAGTCATAAATAGCAAACACAGGATTTGAACCAAAGTCCTCTGACTTCAACTCTGGGGCTTTCCCCTGCACCACACTAAGCTTCGTGGCGGAGCGACAAGAGTGAGGGAGGAGGGACTCCCCTAGCCAGCTCCTTGCTGCTCCCTGTGGTGGCTGAGTCTGGGGACGCAGACTGGCCCCAAACAGGGAGTGGCTGCTGAGTCTGGGGCACAACGTCTTCAGCCTCCTCTCTCTCTCTCTCCCCTCCCCTTCACTGGCCAGGCCAGCTGGAGAAAGAGGGTATTCACTCAACCAAAGCTTCTTCGGGAAGGGAAGGACAAGTGTGTCCTGCTCCATAGCAGCAGAGGGAAGAGAGGCTGGACCAGAGGAGAAAGCCTTGGTCTCAGCACCCCAATCCCCCAATTCTGGAAAATCAGCAAGAAGGGACAAGGAAACATCAAGATAACAATTTTGTTCCCTTGGAACTGTCATTGGTGCAGCTTAATTAAACATAGCCCCAGATCTCGTCACACAGCAATTAGGACAGGTTATCTGATGAAGCAAGGTTCTGGGGCCTGGGATATGCCAGGCAGCACACTGTTTCTCTTTGTGTGTTGACCCCCCCATTTATTTTTTTTAGCCTGCTTCCTGGCTTCTATTAGCAATCCAGAAACTGAATCCTTAAAGGACTCAGAAGATAGAAATCTACCCAGAAGACAATGTGCGTTGTCTTTGACCTCACTGTTGTTTATCCTTCATTCTGGAAAAGGACCATGACTTCAGGAAGCTGAGGGCATGATATGCAAGTGAACTGGATTTAAGTGAGGGAGGGCTGTGCAAAGTCACCAGCCTCACCTTCCCCTCTGGAGCTATCTGGGTCCACAGGCCACATATATATCAGGACAACTGGATATGGCCCTGGATACAATGGGAGACCCTGGCCTTTTTAAGCAAAGGTCTTTAATAGGTCTCAGTCTGACTGAGGCAATGCCCAATCAGTGATTAAGGCTAGGTAAGAAATGAGATAAGAGAATGGCCTCTTTCACTTAATTAAAAAAAAAAAATTAATCTGGGAGAGGAAGACCCTCTGGGTTTCTCCCCAAAACGCAAACAACTACTATTTACTTTCACTCTGAGCCAATCAGATGGCTCTGAAGTGGAAAGTGAGGCTGGTGACTTTGCACAGCCTTCCCTCACTTAAATCCAATTCCCTTGCATGTCATGACATCACCTCTCTGATGTCACCATCCTCTTCAAGAACGAAGGACAAACAACATGAGTAGTAGTAGGAGCTGCCCCACTGGGGACCCCACTGGAACTGGCCAGTTGGACAACACAGTTCCCTCCTTTTTTCTTTGTCTTTCCCTTCCCTTCCCTCTGTCCACAAAAGGTAACATACTCTTATCATCAGATGCTCTGCTCAAAGGAATGGAAATTTCGATCACTGAAACCTCACAAGATATCTTGGGGTTTACAGCTAGATTTCTTTCTTAAGGACCATGCCTTAAACCCAAATCACTCTGGCTCTCACTGACTAGCTAACAATAGGTCCCAGGCCAAGCCCCACTTGGTCATTGTAAAGGGAAGGCACACTGGAAGAGGTGTTTCCCATTGGGCAGAATAGACTCAGGTAAGCTGGAGGTGGGGGTTGGAGAATCAAGATTCTCATAGGAGACCATGGCTTCCACCCAACTGTGCCATAGGCCAGGGCTCTAAGCCCAGAGAAATGGTACCCTTTGACTCAAAGCAAAAGATCCCTCAGTTAAGGCACTGTTTGGGGGAAAAACTAAATTACCTTCCCAGGACACTTGAAGGATTTAGGTATCTGGGGGAAAAAGGGCTTCTAGAATGTATTTCCGTCAAGCCTCATGCATTTGGATTGAGTTCTCTGAGTGCAGGAAAGGGGCATCCTTTCCCTTCACTCTATTAACTCTTGGTAGCTCCTGACAGAATGAAGAAGAGGCAATGACCACTTGATAGTATTGGTCCCAGGCTCTAAGCTTGGGAGGGGAGCGGGTGGCACTGGTCTCAGTCTTAGCTCTTCACTTTCCACGACCTCCAAACAAAACCAAAGCAAAAAACTCATGATGTCAGGACTGTACAGCCCTGCCAGGATCCTAGCACTGTGGGCTGTCAAACTGCCAAAGAGCAGTTAAGGATTAGCATCTGGGAGTACTTGTGTATATCTGAGCATGCATATGCCTATGCTTTGGGATCAGAAAGAGTAATAGCAGAGTATGAAGGAATCTGACTTAGCATGGGTGGTCAGATCAGATGGAACCTCCAAGTGGAGAACAAAGGCAAACAAGCGGCTGGAGTTAAACACAGAGGAAGAAAGGCATTCTTAGAAGATGACTGCTATGCATTTGTGTTTCTCTTTTTTTTGGGGGGGTGGGGAGTGGGGGGTTGGTGAAGGGTGAAGGTTGGTGAGCGGCAGGATTGTGAAATAACTAAAGTCCTGCCCTTTCACATGAACACCCCAAGAAAGGGGTCTGTGTTCTTCCCCATCCTCCTCCCTTTGGAAGAATCAATCTTTCCTAACACATGTCCAGAGAGGAAAGTGATCAGCATGGTGAGAGAACTGAGAACTGGATATGATGCCATGTAAAGATCAGCTAAAGTTAGTGGGGGTGTGCAGAGAAGACTGGTAGGGCCACGGGAATCATCAAATACAGGGGTCCTCGTTATCTGAGTTCTCTAAGTTAAAAGCTTCCATTCAAATTAGACAGGAGGTACAAAGGAATCTCCCTGAGGCATAACTGGATGGTTCTCTCACATACTAAATATACTCTAGTTCTCCCAAATCTTCAATTTCACTACCATGCTCCCAGTCACCTAGGCTTGCAATGTAGATATCGACCTCTATTGCTTACTCTCACCCCACATCTAACAAAAATAGCTATCATTTACACAGCACTTTAAGGTTTGCAAAGTGCTTTACAACTATTACCTCATTTGATTCTCACAACAACCCTGAGAGGTAAGTGCTATTATTACCGCCATTTTACAAATAAGTAAATGGGCTGAAAGAGGCTGACTTTTCCACGGTCACATAACAACTAAGTGTCTGAGCCTGGACTTCAACTTTTCTTCCCAACTGAATTAAATTCAATTAACATTTATTAAACGCCTACAATGTGCTAGGCATTGTGTTAAACGCTGGGGATACAAAAAAGGAAGACAGCCCCTGACCTCAAGGAGCTTACAATCTAAAAGGTGAAGACAACATACAAAATGAAGCTGGAAGTGGGGACACCAGGGGGAACCTGGCCGGGGGGCATCTTGTTCCAAGGAATAGTCCTTCAGTCCACTGACTTGGCGTCTGTGATGTTCCCTTAACAAGATGCTCCATCCCCTCAAACTGCAATTTTTACTGGCTATCTTTCCTTCCATGTCTGGCATTCTCTCCCTCCTCTTCTCTGCCTCCTGACTTCCTTCAAGTCTCAGTTAAAATCTTCATCTTCTACAAGAAGCCTTTCCTGATCCTCCTTAAAGCTAGTGCTTTCTTTTGGACATTATCACTAACTTATTCTGCATATATCTTGTTTGTACAGTTACTTACATGCTGTTTAACACCATTAGACTGTAATATCCCTGAGAGTTTTTTTTGGGGGGGAAGGGAATGGGGTACTTTGTACCCCCCCCAATGCTTAGTTTTTAATAACTGCTTATTGACTGACTAGAATTATTTTCCTTGACTTTTTCTAAGTAGGGATTGATCTCCTTCTATTTTTAAAGGGGTATTCTATTTTTAAAGTATGGTAGTGATGGTGATGCAGAAGAAAAAAGTAAAGGGCCACTGAAACATTTTTAAAAGTGCAGAGGAAAACAGAAGTTAGAAGGATGTACAGACTTTTTAAAAAAAGTAGAATGGAATGACATTCAGTTTCATATATAACCCCTTTTTTGTAAGGGTATAGTATAAAAAAAATTTCTAGCTTTGATCAATATTTTTCCTTTCAAACTTGTCAATATTTTATTTGGTCTTCAGAATTTCCAATCTGGTGTCAAACTGGGATTTTTCTGATTTGTTGCTTTTTAAATTTTTTTTTTTAAAATTTTTAGTTGCATGCTCTATTCAGTATCTTTTTCTTTTTTTGCCTGATGAAACCATTCAAAGAGATCTATTTTCCCTTAAAGGCATCCCCTTAGATTTGCTATGTTGTCTCGTTTCCATTTTCTTTGATGAATTTTTCCTTTGTTTCCATGATCTGATCTACCATTTCTTTAGGATGAGTCTCCAATTAATCTTTAATTCTTTTTTAAAGGCCTTTAGTCAATCTAGTTTTATTGCACTGTTTTGAGTAAAGGATGTGTCTTAACATTTTTGTATGTTGGTAAGGTATTTATGAGCTAACATATAGTCATTTTTTGTAGAAGTGCATTGTATAGTGGAGGGATATGTATAATCCTTTTTGTTCCTATTTAAAAATGGCCTGAGATCATTCCAAACTTTTCTAAGATTCTATTAAGGTGCTTAAATTTGTTAGATTTGTCTAGTTCTGAAAGTGGTACACCGACTTAAGAGTTTTACAGTGTATTTCTTCTTATATTTAGATCACCTTTTCCTTTAGATGTAATTTAGTCCACACATATTAAGTGTTGCTATTGATTTGCTGTCTATGGTACTTTTGAGCATGGGGTAGTTTCCTTGCTAACACATCTATTTTTGTTACCTTGTGCAAGATGATTTCTCCACCCTCCTTTTCTGAGTTCACCTGAAGCATAATAGTTTTTGTTCCACTACTTTAACTATGTGAATCTTTTATGTTTCAAGGGTATTTCTTGTATATATTCTGTCAGATTCTGCTTTCTAATCCATTCTG